CTTTATAGCCGGGATAATATTACCGGTTTATTCTAAGAAAGGTCACGAGCGACATTTTTGCACTTCCGTAATAAACGACGGCATTGGTGGAAAGGTTTAGCCGCGTCGTTCCACGCGCAATATCGCGGGTTCGAGTCCGCGCAGCGATAACACTGAAGGATCTCTTAGGGGTCTGGAACTGCCATGTAAGTCCTTTTGCAAATAGTAGAAACATATATTTATGCATTATGAATACAAACAATGTACCACTATATATCTGCAGACCTGGCAGCTTCCTTGTATCCGTCGTTAAAAGCGTCAGGATACATCGCAATAATCTCTTGAAGCTCTCTACTGAGCTGCTCGACTTTCCAGACACCGTCACGAAAAAGATCCAGGCCGCACTGAACCATGGACTTCTTTGCCCAATTTTCTCCGTTTTTGTCTTTCTCTAAGCTGACGAGGCGGATGCACTCAGCTGCCAGCTCAAGAAAGAACTTCTTCCCAGGGTTTGCAAGCTTTCCTGATGATGAATTGCCGGTCTTCCAATCACCATTCCGAATAGCCTCCGTATTCCGTCGCTCGACAAGGCGACGCCAGTGGTCCTTGATACGCTGAATCGGGAAGCGGTCTGCGGGCTGGACTTTGTCGGTGGCGTTAGCAGGGAAAAGCTTCACCTTCGTCCGCAGTTCGTGAGCTGTGTCCTCGACGTCTGTATCGCAATGTCCACTAGCGTTGTCCGTCCATAAAATCCGTCCAGACGCGAACGGTCCACCCGGTCCCCAGCACCTTGGGTCGCGCAGCCATTGACACATTAAGCGTCCATTGATGAACGCACTCGGCGAAGTCCGGTAGCACACACCAGGCGTCGAATCGGCAAGATGTTGAATAGGGTAGCTAGAGTTCTTGTTCTTGAATATCAGCATCGGACACAGGATGCGTGCATCGCTACCCCCTTTCAAAAGAACACACATTGTGATGCCCTCACGACCTATAACGTAAGCAACACAGTTAATTCAAATCATCACTGCGTAGATCCCATATTACATACCTGACACGACGCTGCGATATTTGACGGACTGTGATCCAACGAAGTCCAGCGTCTTGCCATCGTCAAGGTCAATAACGAAGTGGCTCTCGTCCATGTTGTACTGCTGATCAGGGTGAAGCGTTCCTTCTTCAAACTGGCGCATAAGCTCACCAAGTGCTTCGCAGCTGTATAGATATTCTGAGCCTGTTTCTCAACGCTGACCTGCTTCTTGCCCTTGTGTCTCTTGTAGACGATGTTGTAGCGCTTCAAGAAGTCTTGAACGCGACGAGGAGTCAGAAGACTCGTAAATGGCTTGTTCTTGACACTGAAGCGAGAGTTGAAGCGTGGGTGCTCACTATCCTCAATGAGGACGACGCCCATTTCAGCGACAAGCTGGTTCGAGAGCTTGACACCAGCTCGCCGTAGTCTTTGAAACTCTGTCAGTAAGATTGGGTACAGCCACATCCAGTGCTCCGCTAATTTGCTGCCCCTACCATCCAGAGCTTTTACGACGAATTGATGTCGGATACGTTGTCTTCCACTCGCATACTTAAGCTGCTTAGGGTCCTCTAGGCTTGTAGCTGTGCTAACACGCTTCTTCCACCAGTCGCGAGCCTTGTTCATGTTCACCCTTCTATCTGAGGAGCGAAACAGCGAAGGAAAGAAGTCGATAGTTCTACCATAGAGACCTTTAGAACCTCGAAGAGCTTGATCCAGCTCCATCCAGTCGGTGCACCGTACACGATCACAGAGAGGAACGACCTGCTGAAGCTTGCGCGGCACTTCTTCTACCATGCCTGTTTTAAAGTGAGAAAACACTTGGAGGTTGCGAATGAAAAGTACAGTAACATAATGCAAGGCTGCTGTTGCCAGCATGCCTAATCCTGGTGTATGTTTAATTGTGGTGTATGACTAATTAAGGTGTATGCACAGTTTACTTTCGTATAGGTACGATGCATGACTATTTAAGTCACACGACTAATTAGTGTACTAGTCAGGGGTTAATGGTATCGGTGAAGTTAATATTGTGAAAATATCACCTGTAGACCAGCTAATATAAAAAATATCACCTAATATTTTCTTCTGAGACAATATGATATTATTAAATATCAACTTAATATTAGCTAATACTATATTATATATTTTTTAAGATTGCGTAATCGGGATAAATCCACCTATCAGATGTCGTTAACGCTCGACTAGCTGAAGTATTACTAATCAACCATGAGGGAGGGACAATTGTGAGAGTGACGGCAAGGTTATTGGCACTGCTGAGCGCATTAATCTACAGGCAGCAGATTTATTAGACGCACGATGTGGACGAGGAAATCGGTAGAGAACAAGAACAAATGTCTTGATTTCGCTCTATCAAAGTTAAACAGCTGTAAGCGTTTGCAGTTTTCCATCTCGATCGCATGTGTCTGTGTCACAGTGAAATACTAGAGCAAATACTCGTCAGTCTTAAAGCCTACTGCTTTTCTAGAACCTGATCGAAAAAGTTATTTGGCTCCAGGGTAAGGTGGCAAGAAACGTACTTAAGTGGAAAATATCATAAAATATCATGTAGTATCTAATATTTTTCAGTTCTCCGAGCTAATATTAAAATATTATGTTAGCTTTTGCAAAAATGAAATACTTTTAATATTTAAAGTAAAAATAGTACTATTACTATCAAAAAATATCATATGATATTTGGTTACCATAAGCCCCTGCTACTATTAATAGTACATGTAGTACGCTTGAAACGGGTTGAATCGCCAGGCCGGGTTACGGCCCGTGAAAGGGAGCTGACAAGGCTTTGTCACACGAAGCCATTCGGGTTGAAGACATGCGGGCATAGTAAAAGCAAGTAAAACCATTGACGCGGATCAAACTGCGCATTTTTCTGCAAAACGAAAGCAAGCTTGCCCATGTGCATGCAAGCTATTAAACCCATGCGGGCACCGTTTTTCTGCTGTCTGCAAGAGCTCACGGTGTCAGAGAGTTTTAGCAGATAGCGACCGCATCACATTAATCACTGTGGTTGGTAACCAACTTGGTTAGCTTAGCGCGCGGCGACGAGGAGCGGCAGTTTAAAAACGCAATGCAATGGTATCGTGGATAAACTCTCGGCGAAGATTCATCGGGCGCTTGATCCATTAGCTTGACGACTGAAAATGTATAAATTTTCCCAGGATATATAAAAAAGGGTTAAGATCTTTGCTGACGCACCTGTGCATCAAGGGCTCATTTCGAATCTTACTTCGAACCCCAGAAGCTTCCAACCAGCAACACTACCTCTAATTAAAGATGGGTCTTCTCGACATCGTGCAGCCCGGCGTTCTCAACGGTGAGGATGTTGTCAAGGTATACAAGTACGCTCAGGAACACAACTTTGCCATCCCGGCCGTGAACGTGACGTCGTCGTCGACGGTGAACGCCGCCCTGCAGGCCGCTCGCGACATCAAGTCGCCCATCATCATCCAGACGTCAAACGGCGGTGCCGCCTTCTACGCTGGCAAGGGCATTGACAACAAGAACCAAAACGGTTCAATTCTCGGTGCCATCGCCGCCGCGTACCACGTGCGCGCCATGGCCAAGCACTACGGCGTGCCCGTGATCCTCCACTCGGACCACTGCGCCAAGAAGCTGCTGCCGTGGTACGACGGCATGCTGGAGGCCGACGAGAAGTACTTCGCCGAGCACGGCGTGCCTCTGTGGAGCTCGCACATGCTCGACCTGTCGGAGGAGCCGATGGAGGAGAACGTAGCCATCAGCAAGAAGTACTTTGAGCGCATGGCCAAGATGAATTTGATCCTGGAGGTCGAGCTGGGCATTACCGGCGGCGAGGAGGACGGTGTGGACAACAGCGATGTGGACAACGCTTCGCTGTACTCGCAGCCGGAGGACATCCTGCTCGCGTACAACGAGCTGGGCTCTGTGTCGCCTTACTTCACCATTGCTGCTGCGTTCGGCAACGTGCACGGTGTGTACAAGCCGGGCAACGTGAAGCTTCACCCTGAGATCCTGGGTGACTTCCAGAAGTACGTCGCCAAGGAGAAGTCGCTTTCGACGGAGAAGCCCGTGTTCTTTGTATTCCACGGCGGCTCTGGCTCGACTCCCCAGGAGATCCAGACGGCCGTGGGCAACGGTGTTGTCAAGATGAACATTGACACGGACACGCAGTGGGCGTACTGGAACGGTCTGCGCAAGTTCTACGAGGAGAAGAAGGACTACCTTCAGGGCCAGATCGGCAACCCCGACGGCCCGGACGCCCCGAACAAGAAGTACTACGACCCGCGAGTGTGGGTCCGCAAGTCGGAGGAGACTATGATTGCTCGTCTGCACGAGGCCTTCCGCGACCTGAACTGCGTGAACGTGCTGTAAGCAGTTCCCTCCGAGACTGACTAGTCGTTTCGGTGTTAGTATCTACTGCTGCTTCGGCGTCTAGTAGTATTCTCTCTCAACATGTAATAGCAAATAAATAGTATCCTTTCAGGAAGGACCACCAAAAAAACGAACCGAGAGAGCTTTAATGAAGGGTTTGTGTGGTAGTTTGTGGTTCGTAGAGTTCCACGTCATCGTCGGAGGTGTATCGTGTACACTGCTGCGTTGAACATGTCTGTGCGCGATGTTAGATCGCAAACTTGCAGCCCATCGTGAATGGACCGGGCAGTGTCCGATCTACGTCTTGCTTCGCTTCACGAGTGAGATCGCTTGCACTGCGTATTAATAAGGTGCGCCGCGCGCGAAGTTTGACTCTTACATACTACAGTACTTAAGTTCGGAATATGATACATCCCCACTACATGCATCGTGGCGGGCGAGGCGCGCATGACACGATGGTGATGGCTCGCTTGGCTCGAAAAGATTGCATCGGTCCACCTGTCACTCATGAGAAAGCCCTTCTTCAATGACATGTACCCGTAACACCGATTTCTCTCGAATACTAGCTCCTGCTCACGTACCTCTGCTTACAATTTCCAAGTGTACAGTTCGGCACAAGCTGATCATCGTATCGCTCCGACTGTCGAACCAGAATCGAGAAGCAACAACTCCGTTATTCCTTCCTCACCGTCACCATGCCGCTTCACATGCCATACCACTCGACGATGGACAAGGAAGTCGTCAAGGCCGCTGGAATCCTGAACTCGTGCTTCAGCTCCACGGTGTCCGCCGACAAAGCGATCCCCGCCGAGATGATCCAGAACGCGGCTGGTCTTGCATTTCTCACTGTCGTCAAGGCCGGTTTGATCTGGACCGGTAAAATGGGTACTGGCGTAGTGATCGCTCGCCTCGAGGACGGCTCGTGGTCGCCTCCGTCTGGCATCGGCACAGCCGGAGTGGGCTTTGGCGCCGAGATCGGCGGAGAAATTGTCGATTTCCTCATTGTGCTGGGCTCCCCTAGTGCCGTCAAGACCTTTAAAAAAGGAACACAGGTCTCTGTGGGTGCTGGTCTGGAGTTGGCCGTAGGTCCTGTGGGCCGTGCGGCGGGCGCCAGTGTTAATGCCGGCGGAGGTGGCGTCAGTGGAAATTACACATACAGTCACGCCAAGGGCGCGTTCGCGGGCGTGGGTCTGCATGGATCCACATTTATGGTGCGTGGTGAGATGAACAGTCAGTTCTACGGCCGCAAAGTTACCCCGAACGAGATTCTGAGTGGGCAAGTAGCCCCACCGCCTGGAGCCTGCGACGTTTTGTTTGATGCGATTCGCCGCGCTTCCAACCAGCAGGGACTTGGCGTGGAACCCAATCCGAATTCATTTGGTTCAGGCCGTACTAGCAGTAGTAACAGCTATAGCCATAGCAACGGGACTCCCGATGCTGCAGACCACGCTGCTGCTGCGCGTGCTTCGTTCGCAGGAACGAACTCGTCGTCGTTCTCGAACTCGAACCGAGATCCGCAGGTATCGTCGTCGTCGGGATCGTCTCGGTCCTTACCAGCGTCATCAACAGTGCAACCAGACCCGAATGACCCGCGGCTGAGACGATACAGCTCGTACAAATCGGAACGCGAGCTCTACGCTCAGTTTGAGCAGCGAAAGAGTGGCGTGGCCCCCCCTGCACCCACGGAGTCCACGCACAGTCACCCGACAAATCCAGCATTAAAGTACAAGTCGTACCCGGCCCCAGCACCCAATGCGTCGTATACAGCTCCCCCACAGGCTCAAGCAATGTATAATTCGTTCGTCGAACCATCGGCACCCAAGCCTTCGCAACAGCCTGTGCCACCCCTTCCGCCCTCAGCTAAGGGCGCTGAGATGAAGCAGGTGTACTCGGAGGTGATGAACTTCGTGCAGACAAAGTGTCCTTACGCAAACTTGCAGGTTTTCAAAGACAACTGCAGGCTCTTCGGCCAAGACGCCATGTCCCTGGACGCCTTCTTTAGCTACCTACTGTCGATTTGCTCGCATCCGCTGATGCAGGAGCTTGTTCCTCAGTTGGTGCGGCTGCTGCCTACACAGGAGAAGCGTGAGCGCCTTTGGGTACGTCACACTGTACAGCTTTTCTTGATGTTGAAGTTGTTGGGTAATAACTCACGATGACCATGTGGTTTTCTTACAGACCTTGTATGTACGCGAAATTCTCCTGATCAAAATTTAAGGGACACACGTACAAATCTTTAGTCAGCACGAGGACGACGACGATTTAGCATTAACAATTCGGAATGGAAGGAGCAGTATGAACCTGTGAATACTATGGGTGTGCGTTTATGCGCATCATTTCACAACTGGTTCTTCAAAATCAGCTATTATAAGCTTCGCAGTGAGTGTGTTTGTTGACAACGTATGGGATGAAAAGTCGTATTGTTTCTCGAAAGTGTGAATGATTCTAACGCAGGAAGAAATCGATGCGTGTCGCGAGTCGTTCGTGCACTTTGACAAGGATGGCAGTGGCACAATCGACAAGTACGAACTGTCAAAGGTGCTGGAAGCTATGGGTCAGAAGCCCACAGACGAGGAGCTGTTTCAAATGATCGCTGAAGTTGACAATGACCACAGCGGGGAGATTGAGTTTGCAGAGTTCCTGCAGGTAATTGAGGCGCAGAAGCTTCGTGCCGCGCAGTTTGACGATGAGTCCGACTTCATCGATGCCTTCGTGGCCTGTGGAGGCAGCCCTGACAAGAGTGGCCATGTCGAGCGCAAGATGCTCGTGCAACTTATCAAGAAAGACTTTGGTCTGCCTATCGACATCGACCGTATGCTGGACGAGCTGGACACCGACGGAAGCGGAGAAATCGAGTACGATGAGTTCAAGGCGCTGCTCTCGTAGAGCGAAGATCGACACGGTGCTATGAGATTTCTACGTGATAATTGGAGCAAGCGGGATCATAACTGACGTCTATGACAAAGATATTTTGCTTTGAAAGTGCATCTTCTTGCGCAGACGCTTCTTGGCTGGAGCGGAGACAGGCTCGTGGCCGCAAGCTGCGCACTGCTGACAAGTCGCTTCGTTGATTAATGTACACCGTGAACACTGCCATTCGCAGGGCGGCTCACCCGCGTCTTCAGTCACGTCAATCGATTCCTGTGCTGTCGAATCGGTTCCATCGTTACTTCGAGCGTGCTTCCCTAGACTTTCTCGCTGTTTGTCTCCACCTGACAGCTCCTCCTCTTCCTCTGCGTCCTCGTTGTCGGAATCGACAATCTCCTCTGTAGCTCTCTGAAATTCCGAAGTAGCATCGGGTGAAGCAAATGCCGGTGCAATTGCCCGCTTGGCTCGTGCTTTGGCTTTTAGCGGAGTCACCGCTTTGGCTTGACCTACTACGGCCGAATCTTTCTCGGCTACAGCGCGCGCAACACCATCCAAATCATCGTAGCGGTTAGCTGGCGACTGTTCTTGAACAAGGGGCGACGGGAGCTCAGTGCGAATCTCATGAGTCACCGAGTTGACGTAGAACTCCTGCTTGATGCTCGTGTCTAATGCGCAAAAGTGTCGCCATACACCCACAGAGGATGCGTCTCCCTCGGTTGCCTTCTTCTGCGACCTTGCTGGAGTGCTTGTGGACGAGGTATCCGTTGCTGGAGTCGGCGGCTTCTTTCCTGCTTTCCGGTCTGCAATATCCTGTCGGAGTTTCTCAAAGTTGGCACGCATCTGTACAGACACTCCTGGCGATGGGGACGCAGCATTTCCACTTCCTGCGTTTTCGACGTTACTGTGGCTGCGCTTGAACGCGTCTGTCTTGGCTTTTTGCTGCATCCTTGCATAGTGATTCTTTACCACTTCGTCTCGTAGCTGAGCTGTGTTCTTTGGGTTGACTGAGTCAGCTTGTGCGTTCGACAGCAGCACGTACTACACAACACACATAGAAAAATCATACTTTAAGTAACGATAAACCCACAATAATGTCGTCGACAAGACTGCTTTCCGCACCTCTTTGTGAATTTGAATGATCTCGTCTCGATTCTTGGTCGGAACACGGACGTTGATTGATTCCAGCAGCTTCCTTACTTCCTTGTCGCGCATGACACTGTAAGACATGAGCGGCATGCGTTCCGGCTTGTCTTGCTTGGTCTTCCTGGTCTTGCGACTCTCTGTATTAGGAGTAGACGTTGCTGAGTTCGGTGCTTTTGTACCCTGCAGTCTCTTTAGTAGCTCCGGTTTGAATTTTTCGAATAGCAGCGCTACCTGCTCCAGTGCACGGTTCGGTACTAAATCCCTCGACGCGCAGGGCTTTTTGCACGACGGACAGCATCCGTGCGCCCCTTTGCTCTGCAGGAAGCGACGCACGCAGGCCGAGCAGAATGTGTGCGAGCAGGGTAATAGCACGGGCCCGTGAAAAAAATCTCCGCAGATCTGGCAGCGCAGGTGGCTCTCCATCTCTCGCTGGGCCTCGCAGTCGGCTGGCCACTCCCACTCGTCCAGCACATCGTCACCCCCCAAGTCCATCATCTGCATAGCTACAAAATTTGACGCTGCTGCTAAATAAACTGTGTAGAGAAGGTATTTAAGGCAGGAGAAGGCAAAAGTCGACTGGGTTGCTGCCTCGCAGGACCGAAAGCGATTCCCGCGCTTAAAGTGTGCAGTTGCCGCGACGTATACCGGTATCAGTGACAAGCGATGTGGCGCACACAATTTGTGATGTAATGACTGCGGTATGTAATGTGTTTGGCTGGAAGCGACGTACGCATTTCAGCGAGCAAGTGATGACGAGCTCCTTGACGGCGTTCGACGCGCAACTGGCCAAGTACTTGGAGCAGCTGGAGCAGCTTCAGGAGAAAAACCAGAAGCAGCACCTCTTCCAGCCCTCGTTCTGGCTGCAGCAGACGGATTTTGACGTCGCGAGAGAGGTTTTCGTAGCGGTATGCAATTGCTGTATTAGAAATATCTACATATAATGCAGTTTGCTGATTGTTGCTGATTCTTATCAGGCCACTGGAACCATCGGCCACACAGTCACCAAGTTCTCCCTCGTGTACAGCAAGACACCAAGCAAGGAGGAAGCCGCCAGCATCTGCGAGGCACTGCGCAAGCCCTGCGAGCAACTGCTTGCCGCCACAAACGTTGCGCTATTCTGCGGCGCCGGACCATCGCTAGCAACGGAGATTATCAATGATGCAATGTACGTGGGGATCTATCGGAATTTGTTTGAAGCAGGAGCTAACGTTGGTGTCGGTACAGTCGTCTGATTAGAAGCGTGCACAACCTTGCGAAGGCCATTTCGAAGGGTGACCTGGCCCGCATACCGCAGCTCACTGGTCGTGTGTGGGAGTATTCTTCCTCACGTGTGTCCAAGTCTAACTGCGTAGCGTCGAAGCGCAGCATGCTACAGGTGCGATACACTATAGTGTGCTAATTCTGCTTTAGCGCTGTTTTGTTGCTAACTTTCACTTTAATATGTAGTGCATTACGATGTTGAATTCGACGGTTGACGAGCTAAAGGAGTTCCTTGCTGAGCAAGAGGAAAGTGACAGCCAAGCCACAGCCCTGGACGAGGTGGAGCAGGACGACGAGTTTGGCTTTGACTCGAGTTTGACGGAGGAGGAGCGTACACTTTTTCAGAGTGGAGTCAAGCTGCTGTCAATGTGTGCTGCCATCATGAAGCGTGGCGTGCTTACTATTAAGAAGCTGACTATTGCGAACGACCAGGATACATTTCTCAATTGGACAGCCAAGTTGGATGTGAGCTACACAGCGGCGCAGGACGCAATCGTGGACTTTGGCGCGGCACTGTACCCGCCAATCGGCACCGATGAGCTGGCTGATGCAGTGAATGAATTGGATTACTCAGCAAAGGCCATATTGGCGTGTCTGAAGGAGATGCCGGAACTGGCCACTGCAGAGGAGGACGCGCTGGGTGTCGGGGAGGCAGCATTCGCCAAGCAGCTCTCCACCGTGAAGAGCCAAATAGAGGCCTCTCTGTAAATTACACTTTTAGTTTTGGCCAATCGCAGAAACTTTGCTTTTTACAATTTGAAGTGTTGAATTGTTGAATCATGGCGGAGATGACGGACCTGGTCGCGGGCTTCTCCGTCTGGGCTGTACCGGAGCAATCGACATCAGAAGAGCTCCAAAACATTATTAACACATACGCGCAGCGACTGCAGACACCATCCTTCCTGCCGCACATGACGGTGCTGTCTGGCGTGAAGGTGCGCGCCACAGAAGCCATTCGTTGGGAATTCCAGCAGCAATATTTCCAAGTTGGAATTATTGATGCAGGAATTGCCTAATAGCTTTTGCTGCAAACTGATAATGTTGCCACCGATGCTGAAGGGACTTTCGGCAGAGGAGGCGACAGCCAAGCTGTCGGAGCTCGCGAACTCGATGCGGGTGCTGGATGTTGAGATTCAAACAGTGACTTTTAAGGTTGGCAAAGTTGGGGAAAGTTGGGAACGTTTAGAAGCGTCTACTTCATACTTCGGAAAATCAAATACTAATAGTAGTAAACGCTATGTGGTGCTGCTTGCAGGAAGAGCTGTACTTCCAGTGCGTTTTCGGGCTGTTGAAGCTTACGAGTGATCTTCTCCAGGCGCATGGACGCGCAAAAGAGGTGGGCGACTCTTTAGAGCAGGAAGCGTTGCTGGTCATAGGAAGTGGCTGCTAGTATCAGCCAATTCCTAGTAGCAGCCTGCTACTACGCATACTCTTAATTCTTGGCGATGCTATGGGAACCATGTCATGATGCAGGTTTACGCTGTCGAGCGGAAGGAAGCGTTCATGCCCCATGTGAGGTAAATGGCCAATATGATGGGCGAGGCTATCAGCTCCCACCAACAAAGAAAATCAGCAAATTTGCTGACATACGCTGGTGGGTTCTTGCGTGTGCAGTTTCATCTATGGCGATTTAGCGAACGGGTTGCGTGCCAACTTGGCGAAAGAATTACAGCCGAGTCTGGATAGCCGGCGCCTTAAGGTAAAACTTTCGATATGCACTCTTGTGGATGGTTATTCAGATCCCCGTCGTCCTGGTGGTTGCAGATGAAGAAGCTGCAGGTGTGGCGGACTCTCGGTCCTGCTGAGACGTGGGAGCTGGTGGCGGAGCAATCGCTGATATCGTAATGCGGCAAGTATTGTTGAAAGACTGCTGTGACTCGAAGGTGACAAAGTGGCGAACTCAACTATTATTAAAAGTGAGTGATGTATCGCGGAACCACTATTAATACATGTACTGTAGTAGGACATGTATATGTAGCTCCGACGTTGTCAATCCCTGTTGAACTCGTTACACGTTAAATTCATCCAGAGCACCAAAAGTATTTCTAGTTCGAACAAGAAACAGAATCTAAAAGATAAAAAAAGAGGAAACTCTCATCCTGCCAAGATGAGCATTGCACGTCAAACACGTCCCCCCATAATGGCCCGTGATGGCATGTGGGCCATGTCTTTTTGTCTGCTAGAGACACGGAACCGCGCGCGGCTTTCCGGATTGGACTGCGACGTGTGGACCACGTCAGAAAGCAAATCTCTTCTTGGCTGCAATAGCCGGTTGACACGCGCTTTTTGTGCTGGCATTGCAGGCTGAGCCTGGCAGGCAACAGTTGCCACAACTTGCCTTGCCAGGCGTCGCGACAGCGTTCGGCTACTCTGGTTTGACAGTACCGGTACTGGCAACCTCGTGGAGAGAGTGGGAGCGGCCAGAATGTTTGCACTGCGACATCGAATTTCTTGTTTGGGCTGATTGACCTGGTTGCCGTACAACTCTGCCCTGCGACGTTTCATACTCCTTTCAGATCTTTCGCTTTAAATACTGCCATATGACTGCGAATTACGAGCGTTTTAGCTTTCCACTTTCGGGTAATGTCGTGTGATTGGGTGCGTCACAGGGAATGAGAGACCCATCCCCCGGAAATGTCGAAACGCTGTGCTTGCAGGCGAAAGAGAAACGCACACTTTGGCTGGGCATCTCGCATTCCGCGCGTGTCGATGTCCATAAGCTAGCCCACTGCCTATACTGAGCCGCAGTCCTCGCCTCGCAGCCTTCGCTTCCCTCGGTAAGTAACTATTTAAGCCTGCGAAGGTTCCGCGGGTGATAAAGTGGCCTTCCTCCCTTCTTCATGCTGCATGCGCTTGAGGCGCCGCTACACTCTGTAAAAAGCGGCCGTCTCTCGAGTACACAACGAGCGTCTCCATCACCGAGGCGCAAGTTGTTGGCGCCTTCCAAAGTGGCTAGGAGGAAGCGCAGACTTATCGTCGCTGTGGACGAGGGGAGGAGATCCCCGCGACCAACCTCGTCCCCCAGTATTAATATAATGGCAAAATCTCACACGCTCTCTGCCCCAAACAGCAGTGCCGCCACCCGTGCCGTCCAGTCCAAGCACAGCGCCACCGACAGCCCTTCAAGATCCAAGGGCGACGCTGGCAATCTCGTATACTGTTTCTTGCGCGAGTACCCGAATCAACACACATCCGACCCTGGAGGCTTCCCTCTAACAAGAGAGCCGCAGCCCGAGCCCCTCACCGAACCGTACGACCCCAGCCACCACTACAACGGCCTCGTCCGGCGCTCTCAGTCACTCCAGCTCCGTCAAAGACCCAGAAACCGTCACGTCATGCCTCGCCAGAAAGACACAAAGCGTATAGACCCCACGCGGGCGCGTCACCCAGGAGAGCCCGCCGCCGACACAGAGCCGCACAATGTCTTCAAAGTCAGCGGCAGCCCAATAATTAGCCCACGCTCTATCCGCCACTGTCTCGAGGAGCCAGGCTATGATATGAATGGCAAGCCACGGAAGCACTCGAATGGTGGCGTAGCGCTGCCTAACCCGCCTATTTCCAAGGAAGACGCTCTCGTAGCTGCTGCTGCTGCTGCGGTGCAAGCCAAAGAGGCTCAAAAGGCGCTCGAAGCGGAACAGGCCGCCAACGCCAGCTTAAAGGGACTCTCAGGCGTGCAACTTGTAGTGCATCAGATGCTGGCGACACACACACGCACACTGGCTCTGCTTGGAATCGAGCGAGCCGAGTTCCCCAATACGAGGTTGTCGCTGAAACAGGTTGAGACGATGCTGAGCCCCGTGGTGGCTCTGTGCAACGCGCTACGAGCAGATCACTTTGGGATCCATGTGCCCACCCCACAGATCGCACGCACGATGAACGACGTGCATTATTGGAAGCTTTGGGAGTCAGATCTCATTGATATTGGTATCTTCTTCATGCCCCCGAATAGTACTATTCCACTACACAACCATCCAGGAATGAGCGTCGTCACGAGAGTGTGAGCTGACATTGTGCAGCAAGCTGGAAGTTGAAAGGAGACTAATGGTTTTCGTGATTGTGAATAGTCTGTATGGTGCTGCTACGGTAACGTCGTACGATATCGTGTCCGATACTGAAGTCCAGAGACTGGAAGCTGGAGACGAGATTGTGTACGAGGATGCCACGTTCAGCTCAGAGTGCGTTTGGGTTATTTTGTAGCACATACCATTTGCCAATGCTAATTGTTGTTTTGTGCTTTAATGTGCTCTGCAGTGCTGTTAATCCCGAGAAGGGTTCGGTTTCTTGGGCCCGTGTTAGTCGCCAAGGCCAGTTCGGACAGGATACTACTACGTGGCTGGATCCGCGTCGGTTCAATCTGCACAACATTCAAGCCAGCTCGGAGATTGGTTGTGCCATGCTGGATATTATGGTGCCTCCTTATGACAAGTACGTAACTTTGAACGAGAAAGCAGAAGAAATGGCGAGGTGCTCACTGTGCAAATTTCTTTTGTGTACCTTTCAGTGCGAATCGAGATTGCCATCACTTCCAAATTCTGGAGGAAAAAAAGTTGCAAAACGAGCGAATTTTTAAGATGTTGGAGTCTATCAAGCCTGACAACCACATGGATCCCCCCACGTCGAATGGCACGGCGAATTCGTCGCCGCTGTCTTCGTGAGCTTGCTGCTGAGAGAATTGCACTCTTTGTTTTCGGCTCCTGTTTTCCTGTGTCTTTCACGTGCGCCAGATTGTGGTTGAACGCTAGCTGGATGTGTATTTGTCCTGTGCGACCGTGCATGTTCTGGCATGAAGAAGAAGTTCAAAGTAAGAGACGACGCGATAGAAGTCAAGCAGCAGATCAAAGCACGCAACGCGCGTCAGTCGAACGAACGTCCAAGGCGTGTCGGTATTATTATTATTGGGTTTTGGTCTGGAAATCTCTCGTTATGGTGTTGCTGTTCCCTTTGCACAAATATTGAGCGAGAGAGAAGAAGAAAAAGAGAGCCAAACCGAAACCAGTAAAACATGTCAAAAATGAAACCTTGCGACGTTAAATAGTGCGAACGGTAGCGTGTAATTGAAGTGAGCGCCTTGAAAGATACACTTACATTTTCTGGTTATCTGCTGATGATAAATATACAGGCGAGAGTACTAAAGTTCTGTCGTCCCGCCACTTTCTTCCGTTTGAGCCGAGTCCATGTTGCTAGTGATGCGGTAAGGTGTTGTGGGTCGACAACTCGGGTCTTCCAGTAGCGTCGTCTTGGGCGAATACTTGAATGAACGGAACTTGGTGCGAAGAGGAGCCTCATCAAGATCTAAAGCGTTGATCACCTGCAGTTGCAGCGTGCTGTCCATGAACCCCAGCAGCTTCCGGACACAATTTATTGCAGAAGCGCCATCATCCCGCTGGCAGGTAGCCACTCTGGCAACTCCACCAAAGTCGCAGCCGTACCACTCGAACACACGCGGCAAAGTGATAGTGTTCGAGTCCTCCTTCATCTCTAGACACCCTTGAGCGCTACTACGCTTCAGCAATGAGCGCAGAACGGCGTTCAGCTGATCATGCACGCTTTCCGGCTCGTAGATCACGATGTCTTCGCTGTCCATGTGGTTCATCACCAGCGCCAGACTCAGACGGAAATCTGGATGTGCGATCCCGAGGTCGTGCAGTCGACTGTCTGGCCCATTCGCTGCTGTTATGACGCTGTTAACGTTCACATACGACAGCTCTGCGCGTGGCAGGCGAGCTCGCAGAATCACGTGCTCAATTTCCGCCAACGACAGACTAACCTGCTCTCCATTCGGTCCACAACTCAATGCGTAGCATGTTCGAGTGAGAAAGTGACTCCACTGACTTATCCCACGCGGAAAACCTTGAGCGATCATGGCGTGAGCTAGTACTGTGTGGTATAGATTCAGGTAAAACGCAACCTGCTCTTCGTGTGAGCCAGAATCCTGTAGTTGTTGCAAGTCCACAGCTCGCAATGCACTGGCGCCGTCTAGGAATGCCAGTACGTCAGTCACGGAGAGCTGCTGGGCGTTGTTGAGAATGTGCAAAGCACGCGTCAACGTGCGTTTCACTAGCATTAACACGCCTGGAATTGTGTCAACTGCGACCACCTCAACGCTAGTTTGGTGTCCATTTTGCTGCGTCAACTGTGGGAAAAGTAGTCGTGAATTGAGTTCCACGCGGTTTGCAGGTCGCAGCGCAGTGGTGGCAGCGAATCCAATGTACATTTCTCCTTGTAACGCCCGTTCAAAATTAGTATTGGGGTTGCAGAACTGGAGGATGCCTTTCACCCATGCATCCCGCGTAGAACTTGTGCCGACACACAGTACGATTTCCTCTGCGAACGTGCTGATTTGCAACGCATACGCGCCATCAGTGCCGCTGGCTCCATCACGATACGCAGAACGTGAAGGAACGTCCACGACTCGAGCTCCGATGATATGCGAGCACGACACCTGCTTCTCCGCACTGGAAGCGTAGGAGCGGTAGAACAAGAGTGCGTCTTTTGTGAGCAGGAGAACCTCTTGACGTAGTAGCTCAGCGGCGTAGTAGCGGTACACGACTCCTTCAAAGACCACGCCCATGTCTTCACGGTCGCGACGACTGAGATTCACGCCGATTCGAGATGGAGACAGCTTGATGTTGGGCGTGAATTGCTCTTGTAAATGTTGACGCTTCATCAGACATTTGTAGAGAGCTGCCTGAGCAGCAATTACACGAGTCTCGTGGACAGGTTTCTTCTCTCCATTTTCATCACCATCTAATGTCTCTGTGTCGCTCGGACAATCACTGGAATACGACGGAAGTGCAGACTGTGGAAGCGGCTCACTTGCCAGCCTTTGCAGATGCAACACAACCTGCTGTGCCTCACTTGAGATGGTGCTGTAGCTGCCGATACGAGAGCGACTGTGGAGCCGCAACTTGGCCAACTCTTCAGTGGGTTTATCACCTTTCAAAGCGTGACGCCCTTGCAGCAAGTTGCGCAGCTCGTAGCTGCTCACAATTGCTAGTCGGTAGCGATTCTGCGGTGTCGCCGGCTCGTCGTCTGCATCAATTTCTTCTTCTTCGTCGTACTCACCCACCTTGTCTTTCACTGCGAACACGTAGTGCACACGCCGTACATCGGAAGCCACGTCCACTTCCTCCATCCAGCACAAGTAAGAGAACGAGAGCTGTCCAAGTCGCCGAGCGTGTTCAAGTCGCAGGAAGACTGCTTGTTCCTGTGCCAAAACTGGGTCCTCTTCGGTCAGTGAACTAACGTCACTCAGCGTCGTGCTCATGGTGCTCATCTCCGAACCCATGAGACTCAAACCCATCCCAGATACAGTCGATGCTCTGCCAGATCCACTGCCTCGTCCACCGTCTACTCTCATCTCCTCGTCCTTCTGGCACCTGTGCTTGTCATACTTGACCTCAAACGAGAACAAATAATCCTTATCCCGCTGTCGATGGCTGTCCGACGTTTCAAATTCGGTGGATCTCACTTGATACGCCACCAATCTCAACGGCAGCGAGTCGAAGAAGCTGGCGAGATCCATGGCATTTAGTCCACCAGGCAAATTGGCGGTCTTCCACCTCGTCAAGTCCACGTACATCGTGTGGAAGTCGAAGGTGTATGTAGACCCAACCACGTATTTCTCTGCACCAAGAGGCGTGTGTCTTCTCTGTCTGCGTTGCTGTTCAGTCTCTCCGAAGTCTCCTGTGCCCAATCCAGGCGGAGTTTGTCCTTCTTGCGTCTCTACGAACTGATCCACTGATTGATACAGTGGGAATGCCACAGCTGGCAGCTCATCCGAGTTCTCACTGTCTGCTGAGCCGCCAAAGCTGAAACTCACTCGACCCACGAGTCTTCTAATGAGTCCCATAATGACGAGTGCTACGCTGCGTGTCAACACCCCGGGAGTGATCTTTGCAGGCAGCTCACCGCCCAAATAGACGGGTCCTTTCGGTGCCTGTTTGAAGCGCCCCTGTACCTGGATCCAGAACATGCGACGCTTGCCAGCGAAGAGCGCTGCGTAGTGTGGATCCTCGGGCTGCGTACGCACCAGGAAAAGTGCATGCCCTTTGAAGAGCTCCGTCTCGAACGGGATAGGTGTACGCGAGTTCATCTCCATGTCCTCTGTCGGCGCTCCACTACCGACGTCGATCACTACGAGGCTGGCAACGCGGTGACGTTGCAGTTCCTCGTCCTGTTCACTGTCCTGTCGTTCCTCGTCCTGCGAGGTTCCGTCATCCCCTACGGTGGACGCGTCGTCCTCGAGCGCAGGTGGTGTCTGCTCGCATTCCACGCTCTTACTGCGCAGTTTGGAGCCGTGTTCCAGCGCGATGAATATCAGCAGCGCGCCCAGCAGCCCGTAGAGTCCCAGCACGTAATGCACAGCCACGCTTAGCGACGCCAGCGCCGCCAGGTCCGGCAGCCAGTCCGCTTCGTCCGCCATGCGTCCGCCTGTGCGTCTGCGTGTTCTGCTTGGAAGTGGCCGGTGCAGAGGGTTTCTTTGCGGTAAGGTGAAGCACAAGCGTGGAGCCGGATGGCAGAGTGTTTGTGCTCACCAGCCTGTTCGCCAGCCTCTGGGTTGCGCAATTCTGAATCTGAGTGTTCCGAGGAGGAAACGCCAAAGGAAACTCACAATAGCAATAAGCTCGGAACGTCCTCAGTACTGTACAAAGCTGGCAAAGATCCAAAAATTGGGTTTCGCAACTGATTTTAGCGCCGTCACGAGCGTGGGATCGTCAGACTCAGGCTTTTGGATGGTCTCGCGCGCTGGTCAAAATATGGCAGCGTGAAATTGGCGAGTTGTTGTTGTCCTCGCCGACACTGTACTGCTTTTAATAACGTTAGTGGCGCTGGTGCAGGTTGAAGCCGTTGGCACCGTCATCCTCGCTGGCTCCACAAAAAGATCTCTTCACGATGTGCGAAAGAGACTAGCCTTCCATTGTGGAAGAAAAAAGTTGAGGTGGTGGACACCATTTACATTCGCCACACACTATTTTAAGTCTATCTCCGCTTATTTCCGATCTCCTTGTCCACGCTCTGTCTCCACAATACGAAGCTCGAGTCCGCGGGACTTGACGCGCGTTCTCCTCCATCCAAGCCCCTAGAGCCACATGAAGCTCCGCGACTCCGCCTTCGTGGTGGACCACCGGCGACAGCTCAGTGGCGCAGTCCATACGCCACATAGAGACGATGAAAAGCCTAAGCAGAAGCGCAAGGCCACGTCCTTCCAGCAGCGCCCGCCTTCTTCGTCGCCTGCGTCATCCAAGGCCGCGATGCCTGCCGCCCCGCTGTCAACCAAGAAGCAGAACAAGAAAAAGGAAAACAAGTCGAAGAAAACGCCGCTGCAGGACGCTGCAGACCTCCTATGTCAGGAAAGCGTCAAAAGCCGCAACCACAAGCTCGTGCTGGCCCCAAATTCGCGCTCTGCAGGTTCCTCAACGTCCTTCTCGATGTCCAGACCCTATCCGAGCTGGGAATCCAAACACAAGAAGGAGGAGACGCTGAAAACGACGCTGATGGCGATGCAGGCCGATCGTATAGTGACAGACGCGCTCCATGAGGAGATATTGGCGTATACACAGTATACGAAGAAGACGGTAGACACGATGGCTGTGCACATTGAACAGATGATCTCCAATGTGCGTGCGAGCGTGCAGTCGCTCTGGCCGCAGTCCAAAGTAGAGACGTTCGGGTCCTATTCGACGGGCATTTGGCTGCCCAGTAGTGACGTGGACCTCGTCATATTGGACGTGGTGGAAGTGAACGACTCGAAGCTGACAGCGAAACATTTGAGACAGTTGGCGAAAGTGTTGGAGAAGAAGAAATGGGTCGAGTCGTTGCTGTGCTTGGATGCTGCGAAAGTGCCCGTGCTGAAGCTGGTCAGTGCTGAGACATCTGTGCCCATTGACATCACGTTCGAGTCGGCAGCTACACACAGCGGATTACTCGCGCGCGACCTTATTAAGCGCTATGCCGACAACATGCCCGAGCTTTATCCTCTGGCGATTGTGTTCAAGCAGCTCTTACGCGAACGCGACTTAAACGACGCATACACTGGCGGTCTCAGCTCGTATTCAGTGGTACTCATGATTATTCACTTTTCGCAGCTGTGGAGGAATGGAGATTTATGCTTCGAAGCAGCGTCAATTTATGCGTCGGGATCTTTGCCACCCGCACCGTCCAAGATGCAGGCTCAAAAGGCAGCACGAATACAGGCTAGCTCAAGCGGTAATAGTAAGGCTGATATCGAGAGCAAAGCACAGCGTTCCGGGTCGGCTATCGCGGGTGCTAAAAGCGCATTGAAAAAGTCAGTGTCCTTGCCGTTACCAGCTCCTACCTCATCTTACGCACAGATTGTGGCCAAGCAACAGGCCGCAGACGATTCATTGAGTAACGCTTCTGAACCTCGCTTCAGCTATGCTGCAGTTGCTGCAGGTATCGCTAGAGTATCGGAGAAGAAAATGCCAGCTGGACCGCCATCTAGCTATGCTGCTGCGGTGTCTGCCCCGCCTGGGTCGTCATCCTCGGTAATAAAATGCAAGAGCGTAAATACACAGAAGAAATTACAGGGTGCTCATTCGATTGATGCAATCAGCGTATCGAGCAGCTACGCAGACACAGAAGACTCGAGCTCGTCGTGTAGCCATTCTTCCTCAGCAGATAGTGACGACGAAGCGCAGAACCAGCGGAAGCCTCCCGTGTCTCTTGGTCAGCATCTGTTGATGATTCTCGAGTTTTTTGGCATTATTTTCGACTACCGCAAGAATGGACTCTCGGTGCGCGACGGAGGATACATTTACAGACTTGCAGACAATCACCGTTCACACATCGGCAAGCCAGCGCTGGTGATTGAGGATCCGATCCATCCAGATCGCAACGTCAGTGCTAGCAGCTTCGCGTTTCCAAAAGTGGTGGCGCTGTTTGAGGACTCGTATTATGCTCTCAAGTACTTTCGCGCGTCCAAGTTTACACCGTCAGCACTGAGCTGTTTACTCAGCACATCTGGCCACACGAGCCATTCCAACCACGGTGCGGGTGGCGACTGGAGGATTCCTGTTCCACAACCAACCACAAAATTACAGACAACTCGATCATAGCACAATCAAGTAGCCAATTCAGTAAAACCTGAGCATGACAAAGAGGAGCAGAACGCATGTTGTACCAAGATTTGTTAGCCACGCGGATGTATGCAAGGAACGGGTAGTAATTTGTACTAGTAGTTTATTTACGGTAGCAAGCAACGAGGCAAAAAGTCGTTCTTTGGGAAATTAAACACCATCTGCTAAACGGTTACCTTTTTCGGTAAAATTATAGGAAGTGAGTATTTTGCCGTCTTCAAACCTACACCTAGCTGATCTTTTGCTCCTCTCCGATGTGTTGATTTTTTTTCACATCCGTCGAGCGTATAGCGTTAACCTGGTAAATACCAAAGCCTCTCGCAACCGCAAATCCCCCCCCTCCAGTCAAAACGCGCGGCACCAGCGGTAGGAATATGGCGGCGCAGGCACGTAGCGCGCAAAAGCGCCCACTGGGAGCTGCGGACGAGAGTGACAGCAGCGAGGGGAATGAGTCATGCGAATTCTTGAGTGAGTGGCAGCCGTCTCCAGGTCCCAATGGGCCCGAGATGCTCGGCACATCTAGTAGCGCGAGTGATGGAGCTGGGCAACAGCTTGTTATCGCTCCACCCCCAGAACAGACCCAATTCGAGTCGTGGAAAGCTTTTGAGGATATCTCAGGGTGTACCAAGCGCAATCGTTCCAGGTAACTTTGCACATTTAACAGCCATCTTCAAAGCGCATTAATACTCACTATATTTTGTAGATCTTTCGGATGCGGACAAACACCACAGCGGCTGATCGAAACGCCAAAATGGACGTACATAGATCAAAGGCACCTCGAATTCCCGTCGAGTGGGTACAGTATGTTCGGGCTTTTGTTTGTACTCATCATGGCAAATATTTCTCGACAGCGACTAGCAAACGACCACGGCAAGAAACTCGAGCCCAAGGCTGTAATGCACAGATAAGACCGTGGCTTAACGCTCCAAAACACTCTCCTTTTGGCTGAATCGGGCAATTTCTGTCTGAGTCGGGTAATTTCTGGCTGAGTCGGGCAACTTTCGGCTCGTCTGCCACGCCAAATGTCGAGTTGGACGTGAGTGCGATGATTTTGGTGCGTCGGGCAGTCAATCAGACCAAGTCGCTGAGTCGGGTAGCCAGTCGGGTGAGTCGGGTGAGTCGGGTAATCAGTCGGGTGAGCCGGGTGCGTCGGGTAACCAGACGGGTGATATGAGCACTCAATCACCAGTTTCAGAAGTTGCTTCAAACGAACCATCGGCAACACTGCAACTTGCTCAAGATAGCGACTTTGAGATTGCAAGTCCTCCTAGATCACGTGGGCGCCCAAAACAGTCAGCGAAAGCTAAGAAGGGTGCACGAAGTAAGGCGGTCGCGCGTGTCCAAGTTGACTCGGAAATGTACGCATCACAGCTTAGCCTGGTAAACTTACAGTACACTTTTGACAACCAGCCATCATACGATTCAGCAGCAGCACTTATTTCCAGATTCAAGTTGTTCGAGTTTACCAAAAGTCCCAAAGCCCCAATTGCTCGAATGTTAGCGACGCTACCTCCAGCTAAGCAGGTGACACCAAACGAGTCGATCATGCGCATATTTCGTGCTGACTATATTAAGAAGTGTTTCGACAAAGTTCCGCTCTCCAAAAAAGCGGTCGGACAAGGGTGCGAGTAACTTAGGTGAAGAAATGGTGGTGGTGGAAGCTATTAGTGTCGGCACATTTTCTACAAAGACACTGGGTGTGATGAAAATGTGGCATAAGGCAAAGAAGATGGCGATGTGGAGAAGGCCGTTAGCTGGATCGAAACGGTCGACTTCCCTCTCCATATACCCTCGTGCTTCGAAGTTAATCAAAACCGCAATCTTATTGAGAGGCTGAAGTCTATCTCGCTTCTTTCGACTCAGGTATGAATGTTCTGTATGACACACCTTTATTAATACTATTTACTAAGACGTGCATTTGTTTACTGACGCAGGCAGAAGCACTGGAACTGGTTGGGAAATCTGCACTGGGCGACAACTCAGTTGACATGTTGATGTCGAATCTGTTCGCATCAAGGGCCGAAGTGATTGCAGTAGACACAGGACTCACTGGGAGCGTCATGAATGGCTACGCTTCTGTTGAAACCATGCACAATATTTTCCTTGGCGTGACACGGAGAAATTTTTGATCCCAGTGATATGTGGAAAGAATCACTGGTGCTCAATCATGATGGATCTTTCACGAAAATAATTCTTTATCTACGACCCGATGAATATCACCTACGGGGCCATTCGACCACTTGCCGAGAAGTTGGTAGCGATGCTACCTGATTTCGTCCCAAGAAAATATCGAGCCCGTGCCTAACAAAGTGATCTCAGAGTGCAAGTCGATAGCTACAGCTGTGAGTTTTACATGCTAGTAGCCTTCGAGATATTTTGTGGCGCCGAATGTCTTAGTTTGCTGAGTAAAAAGGAGATTCAGTATCTGCGCTACAGATATCCGTGCATGTGCATTTACCGATAACAAGTTAGTACATTTTTCTAATGTAGGCTAGTGCTGGATGTTCGTCACAATTTAATTTGATGGATACCTGGATGCTATGCATGCTATAGTAAAATGTCAGAATGCCAAACACGTGTGCTCTTCTCTCTATATGCTGCTCTGCTCTCTCAATGAGCTTCCGGCTTTACGTATACTTTCGAGGACACTTCATTCGATGACCATCCGGCTCTAGCTAAGTCGGGCATATTCGGGCATGCCTGTCGGATCAATTCTGGCACGAATGTCCTGTCACGTGTTGCCTATTCGGGCAAAATAACGAGTGCCAAAATTATAAATGAGTGAGATCGTAATTGCAGGGATTGGTACTGTACAGAGTATGTAAGGATAAATTACAGACGTCATCGACATTTCAAAAATCTAAAACGTGACACCCTCTCTCCGCCCTTTCTCCCATTCTCAAACTGCTCTGTGCCTCCGTTTTGACCTCAAGTGGTAAAACTGTTCGGTAGGCTTTTGACGTACGGTGGGGCAATGAAGCTTAGTTGTTCTTGCTAAGTTCAAGTCGTTGACATGCTAATGTACAGGGCAACGAGCAAAAGCGAACCGGAGGTAGATGTTCCGTCAGCAGGTTTGTGGGAGACTTCGCCAATTGCAAAGGAATGATACGAAGATTGGGATCTCTTTAAGGCCTATCTGCAAATATACCAGGAGGATACGCACCAGCTCTTTCGCCTGATCATCTCGACGTCAGTAGCTCACCGCAATGCAGAAATCAATAATCAAGCTCGCTTCAGTTCTGGAGATCCACCAAGCGCAGATCCATTGCTTATTCCGTAAACGTTTACAACATTGTGGGCAAAGTATATCAGTACCCACGGATGAAGACGAAAAGCCGCAGTACAGGCCAGCGCAAGAGCTACTTTGGCAAGCCAACGGAGTGCAAAGCAGGCCTTAAGACTGCTGTGACATGTAACAATGACGAGCAGAAGTTTATGATCCGTGTTACACGCTCGAGTACAAGTCACAGCCACCGCGTTGAGCGAACCGTGTATGAGAATCATCCGTCGGTGCGACGAGTTGAAGCTCACATACTCCTTGCATTTGTCGACATAATGCAGTCGTCTGGTTCAAAGTTTAAGCGAATCATACCGTTTCCTCGCAAGAAGACCAGTAGAACCACTGTTTTCTCTGCTGTAATTGCTACTTATTCCTACTTTAACTGTTTATTTTAATGTAGGCCAAAATGTGACGCTTTGGGACGTTCACAATATGGTTGCGAGGAGAGAAGGGCGCCGGGGTGGTGATACTGTCGAGCAACGTCTAGACTGTTCTGCGAGGATTGTGGGACGGCATGAAAATCGCGCTTCGGTGTTTGTCAATGACGAGACCCTAGCACAAACGAGACCCGCCAAATGCGGTGGTGGTCTTAAGCTTTTCCAGAGGGGCTGCTAGTAGCGACGCACAGCACAAACGAAGCAAGGTACGAACTCTTTTCCTTTATGATACACGATGTGTACGACCATGTAAGTAGAAGTACCTATCGATGACTAGAGGCGCTTTGGGCACTGTGAGTGTACGAGATATGTCTCTGAAGACACTTGTATGCTTGAGCTAGTGCTAATCGGGTTGTATGTACGTGTACATGTATGTATAGGGGCAATATGTGCAGCACAGGCTAACGGAAAACATGAGTGCGATTGCCTATAGGGTCCCATCGAGGCGTTCAAATTTTCCAATCCATCTTGGGAACAGATACGAGTGATTGTAATTGACAAAGACATGGGGGGGGGAGGGATGAGTGTGTTGGAGAGGGCGCGAGCGTTATTCTCTGTCCCTTTCACCTGAAGAAGTATATTCGCTCCGAAATGCCAAAGAGCGAATACGGCGGAATAAGTAGCTTTGATATGAACCAAGTTGATGACGCCGTTGTCGCGGTAATCCTCCTTTGGTCGGGGTCGTGTATCTTGCAGGCCGATGTAGGAACTTAGGTTTATCACGTAAATGTAAAGTTGTTGCTGTTGTATTTTTGAGCACTTCTCTTGTAAGAAGGAAAATCACGACTGAGCTTCTACTTAAGGCTCCAAGCTGAGCAATACCTTTCTGTAAAACACTACCGCGTGGAGGTTCAACGCAAATTCCCACCCTTGTCAGCGGCCGGTCGTTCCCCTCCAGGCCTGATACGCCGCCGATTGGGCCAGAGACCACAGTTGCTTGGACGTGGCCTGCGATTTCTGTAGCAAGCAGATCTTCCGAACGCAGTCCGAATGAATGGCGAGTCCTCATTCTAGCTGTGTATCGTAACAATTCTCCCCGACTACCACTCGGTTTCCTCGCCGAGCCTCCCTGCCCAACGCGGGTCCCACGATACCATCAGCTACTTCAGTGGGAACGCCTCCCCGAGTCGTTCCAGTATGTTCAGGACTCGCGTTCTCGACCGGAGAAGGTGTTCCTTGATCCTTGATGCCACGGAATCGAGCCAAGCAGACACGCTCGCGCTCTTCGCGTCTCCATATCCGTCTCGCGAGCCCATCCCAGC